AGACGGTTTTGCAACCCAGCTTAGCGATGAGCGAGATGCGGGGAAAACCTTTCAGGGACTTTTTGACAAAGAATACCCTTTGTCCTTGGGCGAACAACATTCTGTTGTGTCCGATTCGTCCGTTGCCTTTCACAAATTGTGATTCCGTAGAGTGTCCAGACTATCTTGTTTAAAGTTTGTTAAGTTGTGGTATGTACTTGTGATATTGATAAAAAGTATGATTGTTACTACTGAGATACGCAAATTAGATTTAGTCTTACGATCAGTAATACCCTTTTATATATTGGTGTTTTTACGTCCCTAGCCCTGTTTTACGATTCAAGATCTCCCAATAGTCTGATTTTCGGTGCTTCCCCTGCTGGAATTTTCCGGATTTGGTGTCGGCTCATACAAACCTTGCAGTATGAGATGATCTTCCATCATTCGGCTTCCAGTAGGGTAATTCCGCCAGTTATTTGAATACATGTCTCCTCCATCGTGAGTGTCACAGGATTCTGAGACTTTTTCGAACTGGGTGGCTCTGATACCACTATGAGGAAACACGGGTTTATTTGTTCCACTCTCGCTACAACCGACAAAATGGGCACTATTGCGGAGCGTAAATAAAAAGTGTATGCATAGGACAAAAATAACACCGGAAATTTTAACGTGGAAAATCCTCTCAAAAAAACCACGGGACTTAGTCCAGAAAATTATCTCCACTATGAAAGTAGGATTACAGTGTTTCTCTCACTCTCTGAGGATCTCTCAATAAATCTCACCCTCTCGGATGGTATATAAAAAAAACTCTCGTTTTGCACACTCACAGTTTCTACTACAGAGTGTCTTTCACCTCTTGGTGATGTTTCTCTCTTCACGGTAGTACCCGTGGCTTTCTTTCTTTCTCCTCTTGAATTCTTTCTTCACCGTTTGATTCTTGGTGAGTTGAGTTTTGATGCACATTTTGCATTCATTTTATAATGAATGAAGGAAGAAAGGATCATAGTTGGTGCATTGGAACAATTTATGGAGTTTTAGTGAAGGTAGAAGACATTCTTCCTCAATATATGATATATGAAAACATTAACCCTTCTTTTCAGCACGTGGATGGGTTCCATTTTTGTTTTTATCCAACATAGACATGCCTGCATTGCCTAGCAATGTCTGAACATGGCCAACAATTACCTTCACAAGTTCAGCTTCATGCCTTCAAGATGAATGTTAATGTATTATGACAAACAAATCACAACCTTAACACATTCTGCATTCAATCTCAAAATAGAAGAAAGTACGAAGGATTTATTTCTTTACCTGAAATCTCTGACATCCAAACCATAGATACCAGCAGGTTGTCTACACCACCAGTATTCCAGTTCTTTTCCTGAAGGGCTTTTGAGTGCAGCTTTTGCCAACGCTTTTCCAAGACCATCCATTTGAAAAAGTACATCTAATGGGTCAATCTCGTAAAATACGGACAGAACTATTTGGCCAAAAGTTTGGTGGTACTCGAGGATCTTTTCAACCTCAAGAATACAGCGGCTGGTAGATTTAGCGTCTGTTTTGGTGAAAACTATTATTACGATCTTAGAAGCAGCTATGGCTCGCATGTGTTCTGCAAACTTCATTCCCTCCTGAAGAGTCTCCTCATTAATCAAAGTTTTGACTTGCTCCTGTAGAAGGACAGAATGGAGATGAGAAACGAACTTTTTACCGATATCTTCTCCCCAAAATTTGATAAATACATCGTATATGAAATGGGGTTCTGATTTTAAGAAGGAAGAAGATGATGACGATGAAGAAGAATAAGCGAACTCCATCAAAGAAATTGAAGTCAACTCTTCAAAGGTACAGCAATAATGATAAAAGATGTTAAAATCACAGTTCATGCACTTGTCATTTCTTTTAAGAGTCTGATAAGGAATTTCAGGATTAAAAAACTATATATTTTGCATCAAATTTTAAAATTACTTGACGAATTCAAAGTTATCCTAAAACAAAGAATGCTAATAAAAGACTTCAAATATGATAGAACCTTCAATTTTTTATTAATAACGTAAAACAGTGTTGGAGAATTTGATAAGAACTGATTTTCTGATATGTGAATGATTACAATTCTTAAAATTTTATCCACATATATTCTAATTTCCCAGATACAACAAAAATATAAAACGAGCAAGAAAAATTCTTTTAAAAAGTAAGACCATAGAGTCTCTTAACCCTAGATCTTTCTTCTCTAAACAAAAAAAACAATTAAATTATTGTTAATATCTTGTTACGTATTCGTAAATCCAAACTCAATATTCAACTAAAAATAGATACCTATTTTCTTTCCTCAAAGTTAAATATAAAAAAATTAAATTGTATAAATATAAAATAGCAATTAGATAAATGTCAAACAATTATAAATAAAAAAAAATTATTAAATGAATTTCATAAAAATAAGTTAAGAAACTATGGGAAAATATTAATATAAATTTGTTAGATTACCTAATAAACTAAAAGTATTTTATTAGTTTTAAACATAAACAAGGTATGAGAACATGGGTACAAATATACAGATACTCATAAGTTCAAACTATACTTACAAAGAGAAATTTATTTGTCATTTTTAAAAATGGAAATTCATATCTTCATATTGAAAGCCAAGGAGACGAGGATTCATATCCAAAACCTTTTTTTCCAATTCCCATAAATGAATCGTAATTCTCCTTAGATTTTGACTTGAGAACTTGTTTTGATACTTCAAATAGTATCACATTCTTAAAATTCCATATCAAAAACAATTTAAATACATATAATATTAAGTATCTTTTCAGTACAAAAACTAAGTTGGAATTCATAATTTCAAAGCAAATATCTCAAATATAAAAAACTAATACTAATTTTACAAAGCTAAGGGGTATAAAACTAAAAAGGAGAAAGGGTCTGATTTACTCAACCTCAGGGACATCGTACAATCACATTTTCTGACTTCTTGACTTACAACTACAAGAAATTTCAAAAAAGAAAAAAAGAAAGACTTTCCTTTACAAGCAAGAAAAGTTCTCAATGATTATCTAGGAGAGCAAAATTTGATCTACGCAAAGTTTATATGATGTTTCAGCATTGACAAGCATTTTAAGACCAGCTTTAAGATCTGCTATGCCTTCCCCCAAAATAGCACATACAGGAAAGATGGGAACACCCTGTACCCTTCTCTTTAACTCCTTATATACTTCACCTGCACCCTCCTCGTCAATCTTATTTGCAATTATCAAGGATGGACGATTGGACAAACCATCTTGATGGTACTCTAACTCTAGAATTAACTCTCTAAGTTGTTCCCAAGGCGGAATTCCCTTCCTTCCATCTAAAGCAGCAGCCAAGTCTAACACATAAGCAAGAACCTTTGTGCGCTCTATGTGGCGCAGAAATGCATGCCCGAGCCCACGATTTTGGTGTGCACCTTTTATAAGCCCAGGAATATCAGCCACGGTAATTGAGAGATCATCGTAGTTTAAATTCCCCAAATTTGGCCTAAGAGTAGTAAACGCATAGTCACCAACAGCAGGCTTAGCCCTTGATATAACCCCAAGTAAAGTGCTTTTACCAGCATTAGGCATTCCAACAAAGCTTACATCAGCAATACTCTTCAGTTCTAATATAAGAACGGTCTCAACACCAGGTAAACCTGCATGCAGAGAGGAGTGGATACTGTTAGGATCTCGAAGATTAGGTATCTGTTGACAAGCTCCTGCCTTCATAGTCATAGATTTCCTTGAATCTTTGGAACTAGACACATTGCCCAAACCACCCTCTCCTCCACGAGCAATGACAATTTGTTGACCTTCTTCAGTTAACTCGGCAACATTGTATATTATCTCTTGGTTCTCTTCTGTATCCTTTGTACAAAATTCAAGAGCTCCATTAGAAGTGGAGAGTTGAGTGAACGCATTTGTTGATGTAACATGTCTGGATTTCTTAGCATTTGTTTCTTCAGCTTGCGTTGAGGAGCAGCCAAATGAATGTGTTGCTTTTACTTCCCCTCTTGTGTCACTGTAGGTAGAACCATAGCCAGGGTCAGGAAGATCATCAACAAGTGCCCCAGGAATATCCCAAGGGTCTACATCAGTCCAGGATTGAGTTTTGACAACGGAGGGAATATCACCATTGACAAGATGAAGTACAGTGCCAATGGGTACACGGGCAACCTGTTAAATAAAGCATACGATTTTGTTATGAACTCAAAGTTCTAAATTGCGAACAAGGCTAAATAAGAGAAAAGAAAACTGTGGATTTTTATAAAAGTCGAAAAAACAAGTAAAACATCAAATACCTTATCAGCACCCCTGCTACCTATCAACTTTTTTGATGATCCATGTCCTCCTTTCTCGGCTATCTATGAGAAACAATTAGTGTCAGCAACCTTTTAATCAAAATTTCATGATCTCATAAAACATTTTGGCAGAAGATACAAATGTATACCAGATGACGTTGCAAACCACTGAAGTCCCAAACTCTAGGAGAGCATTCCAGAATCACATCACCGCCTCTCCCACCATTGCCACCTACGTCAAACAAACATCAAAGCAGCACTGTCATCAGCTCCATTGCACACCACCCACATTTCTTAAATTGTGGTTTGCAACTGCTATTACAACTAAACTATTACAGTTTTGTAGAAGGTCTCTACTACCTAATTGCAACCACAACTGCAGTTGCATTCGAATGCAATTTCTGTAATCACAACGAAACTACATATACGAATCAAAACCTTGGCTATACATCATAATAAAGAGATATACACACCATCGGGTCTTCCCTTGCGCAAGCTGGAGCAACCACTACCTCCATCACCTGCTTTTGCAAATATCTTACACTTGTCTATCATTTGTCTCTCCTACAAAACCACCCATAACCCAAAAGCAGTGGTCAAAAACTTAAAATAAATGACAGCATGTCCTTTTCATGTGAAAAAATGAGTTGAGGATCAAACCTGCAAAGGAGCAAGCTTAGACTTCTTCTGAGAAGTATTGGAGTAACGAGCATAAGGTGTAATAGACCATCTAGATATACACCTTTGAGTCAAAGCTTCCATTTGTTTAGTGCATTTTGCTTGAAAGAGAAACATCATATGCACAAACTAGAAACTTGTAAGAGTGGAACCAGGTTGGTCCTCTATGTGTTGAAGTTTGGCACCTTCAAAAACTGTGCAAAGCAAATGCAAGATTAATGTTAGAGTGAGACAATGCTCTTCATTGAAGAAAGTTAGCTCACCTGGGATTTCTGGTTGTGGAATTTTCTCAAACAGATTTTGGGCATGACAGTGTTATGCAATTTTGTGCACATTACTAACATGTTGATTTTATTTTAGAAATATAAAATTTGAGGGTGAGAGGAATCACCTAACCTTGTTAATTCAACATGATGAAGTGCAGAAGCAGAACCTTCGATTTGAGACTTTGCTCCAGATGTTGGCATGCAAAGAAAGGTAAATGAAATGACATGAAAATGAAAATGAGATTCTGGGAAGAATAAGTTGAGAGAAAATTAATGGGGTGTGTGGACCCTCTCAAGGCCTTATTGTACATCTCCACTAGTCTCCCAGATTGAAAATGTTGTTCCGAGCCGACTTTTTTGGCCGCTGCCGGGCTGACCTGCCAAGCTCGATCCCTTTTACCACCGCTGATTTTGAGTTTTGTCCTCTGTATTATCAACATGTGAATCAATTGTGATGCCATAAAGACAAACTTTTGAGTGAGTGTTTGATCAAAGTTTACAAATTGATTGGGCTTAAACCTGTTCTCAAGGATTTGGAAGAAAAGCTAAAAAAAATGTTCTTAATGCAACGGTTGCCTAAATCCAAACACCAAATAATGCAAAGAACTTATTTTGCCACGGCAGTTTGGGTATATTCAGAAAACACAGAAGAAAATGAGTAACCTAAAATTTAGAGAATGAAACACGGCAGAATAAGTTATAAGGAAACTGGTGTCTATGAACATGACCTATTATCAGAGGAACATGGTCACTGCAATATCCTCCTAAAAAACAACTTCTATATAACACGGGATAACTTTAGTTTTCAAATCCATTTAAAAGCGTGATCCATCACCAATATAATCAATCCTAATGCCGAATTTGGAAAAAAGTTGGTATAACTTAAAGTAGCATTCAAAGTAAAACAAGATAATTATTATTCTGTGTGTTCTTACTCCCAGACTAGTTAGAGTAATTTGAACCCATTGAGACTTTGATACAGAACATTTAACCCAAAATAACAAGGGCCAATTCATGAAACTGAGAACATCACATGGATTCATCAATGTAAACAAATTGACAAGACGAAAAGAAAAGAGAGACTGAAAAAAGTAAACAAGAGAGAGGAGATTTTCGCTAAAAGTAACTCGAAAGTGATTTTATAACAAAAATAGATAAAATTGAATCCAATAAGAATAAGCATAAAAAGTATAAGAGAGAGATGAGATAAAAAAAACTACTGGAAACTGAGGCGCGTTGGACTGAGTTGCTTGGAGGATCTCCCAGCGGCAGGGCTCGAAGTCTTCCGATACGGGACAGTAGCCAGCTAGCGTGACCTTGTCGTTGGAGGTGGAGCGGAACTCGAAAACCGACACGGTGGCGTTGGGTGGTCGGGGAACCTCGACACGGCCGTTCAGGGGCATCAGCGAGGGGTTTGGTTGCCTCTGCGCATTGGATTTGGGAATTGAGAAGGATAAGTTTGATTCAGAATTTTCTTGGGGTTTATTCCGCTTTGGCCACCAAATTTGGTGCAGGGATTATGGAAATAAAAACATTTAAAGAAAATTACGAAAATAAATAAGTGGTCACCACAAAATGGAGAAGTTGTGTATCCTTACGTAATTTTTTCATTTCTTTTTTATCGCCTCAAAATTGAAAATCGTTAAACCTCATCACTTTAATGTAATGTAATCAATCTTAGGATATTTTGATAGTTTAAAGGTGTGTTGTCTTGCTTATTGCTGAACGTGGATTGTTGGGCCAGAGTTCAAAAATGTTGTACTGTCGAGGTTATCACATCTAAAAACATTTCTTAGTTTGTTTTGAATTAAATAAGGAGACATATTCTTTAGAAATAGTTGTCCCTCAATTTTTACCATGATGTAAGCATGGTTTAGTTTTATATTTTTTCTCTAGCTATTTAATGTCATTCATTTTGTTTAAATAACAAACTTAAGCGTTGTTCCTATACACAAACATTAAAGATTAATACTATATTATAATGTGAATATATAATCAATTACATTATATTGAAGTTTCAATATCTTAGTAAAAGATCTTTTATGGTAAGTTCATTTCTAATTTTAGCTTCATAGATTAGTCAAACTTATGTCATTACACTTCATATTAACACAACCTAACAGCTCAATCAAGATTTGATACCGTCTAATCAAGATTTGATACAGTTTGATCAAGATCTGATACAGCTCGATCAAAGTCTAATACAACTCAATCAAGGTCTAATACAACTTGAGATATGTCAGATCTTGATTGAACTATATCAAACTTTGAACGAGTTGTATCAAAATTTGGTCATCTGTGTTAATATGAAGTGTCACGGTGCGAATTCAAATTTTTTTAATGAAGTCAGGTTGACTTGATTAGCCCACGAGACTGAAATTGAGGTCGTCTTACCATAAAACGAATTTCTAGTAAAATTGAAATATAATGATTACATTATATTGAAATCATTCAGCAGTGACGATTTTGACTTTCAACGCGGTCAAAACAAAAGTAGTTTGAAAATCATGTGAAAATATACAACTTCTCTATCTAAAGTCTATTTAAAGTGGTGTGAGAGTTACACTATTTCTTCTATGCTTGTAATTTTGTTTTAATTTATCTATTTCTATAATTATTGTATCAAATTTGCATAGATGAAAGATAATCAAAATCACGTTCTCAAACTCAAACAGAAAATAACCATAACTCTACAAAAATAAAATAATACACATTATTACAATAAAAAAAAGTCAATGCCATGACAATGTTGTGATAACAAAAACAAAATCATGTCAACTAACCTAGCTCAGACTTTTCAAGGTTTATATTGCAAGCTTTATAGTGCATGAAAATACACATTGCATGAACATTACATATAAAATTAGGACTGAGAGAAGGAAAAAAAGAAAATCGATGATGTATATAATATTTTATTAAACAGTTTTGTCAAAATTTGAAGGAATAACCGTGAATTGATTTTTCTTCTTTCATCGATAAAATAAAATGACATTTTTTTCAACATATATATAATCTAAACTTTAAAATGTAAATTTATTAAAACTATATGCTAAATATATTATACTAAAAAACTATATTAATTAAATATGGAAAATCAAGTGATATTAAGAATTATATTATATCATCTTTTATAAAATATAACATTTTATCCAATGCTCAATTGTCATCTATATGCAACACTGTCATTAGTCAGCCAAATTTAAATAATAAATGGTAAACAAGAAATATGCAACAATGTGTTACTAGGCAGCCAAATTTGAATAATGGATGATTATCAGACCAAATTAAAGAATTAAAATTTTAAACTATGACACCATTTAAAACTAAAATTTTCAACTTATAACATTAAAAGTTTAATATATTATTGACAGATCACTAACTATCAACAGAAATTTTAGTTATAATTTATATTTAAACTATGCTAATTTAACTTACATCTATCTTATTGTCAATTGAAACTTTCCAAACAACCTTATCTTACCAAAAGAAACTTAAGAAAGGGAATTTATATTGCAAGTTGCTTGCAATATAAAAAAAAGGTATAAAATGTATTAAGTTAATCCAAAATTAAATAAAAAATTAAGACAAACCAAATAAAAAGTTAAATTTATAAAGTACACTGAACGAAATCCAATTTTGGGTTGGGGAGGTTACCTATAATACATTATGGCAAACATATCTAATTAACAACAATAATTCTTTTGGACAGAACTTATATCCAACCCCTACCCTTCACTGCTTATATATATTCTTTCATATTTTTTCATATAATGCTGTAGAAAACTACAGAAAAAAACCTGCATAAAACCAAAAACACAACAAAAGGTGGACAGCACATGACAAACTACAATTAACATGCGCATCCACTTGACTGAGGTTGAGTTTGAGCGTTGCCAGTTGTAGACTTCAAGTTTACATCAACCATGTCTTCTTGTTTTGCAGAGGACAGTGTTTCCATTCCGGGTAATGCTGCAGCAATTTTTCGAAAGAGGGCCTGTAGATGTCCCATAATACATAATATATGGTTAGTTAGAAACAGAAAAAACCACAATTTAAAACAAAATTTTCAAATGCAAGAAACTTAAAGCAAATGATTAAGATTTAGAGTTAAAGAACAAGAAATAAAAGTTCGTGATATCTAATTAGGTTAAAGTAGATCTCACACACGCAGTATTCAAACACAAGCATTTAGAGTCCAATCATCACATTATAGCATGATTCATTTCACTCTGACTAGAAACAAAGCATTCAATAATAATGTATGCAAAAGAAAAAGGATGGGTGTTAGATAAGTTACTTTTATATTAAACCCAGCCTTTGCGCTAGTTTCAATGAACATGACATTGAGCTCACGTGCTTTTGCTTCCCCTTCTTCTATAGAGACTTGTCTGCAGAGTCACAAAATTGGTAAAACAAAACAAAATAAATTTCAGATTCTAACACTAGTCAGTATCCAGAACTGTACAGCAAGAACATGCAATTCCCATGAAACATATTTAAGGTCAACTTAACTAATGCCAGCTAAAGTCTGGAAAATTGAACTCTTCTGTCCATCCAAAACTACCTGGACAAAGCTGATCACTAATGCCAAGAGTGATCTTCTATGGTAGGTTAACTTGAATGCATAAGACTTTTAACTGATAAGCAACACCTTAATTCCTTGGTGTGATCTATAATATAGGCCAACAACTGATACAAGTGTTTAACCAGAGCATAGCAAGACTCAAATAAATAGCATACACAGCAAAAGATGGGTTGAGTCCACACTAGGATATAAGTTGTAAGAATTCCAACATACTACTAGAGAAAGCAAAAGGACTAATTGCAACCATTCCTACATCTAATTCCCACACTCTGTCATCTTACTGTTCCATATAATAATTTATTTCCTTCCTATAAATTCATGTCTGCAGTGTTAAACACTTAAGCTGAATATTAAATGGGTGACATATAATACTTTGGATGAAAAGAGAATATGGAAACAGATGGGTAATAAGATATTATAATGCATGCAAAGAAAGGATAAATGGAAAGATTCGAGACAAAAATTCACCACTGTAACCAGTTTGATAATATCTAGAGAGATCCTGATTACATATTTACTTTTAAATAATTCTTGGTAAAAAGATTTTTAGTCTAAGAAAAGTTGGTAAACAAGTGGTTGGTTTAAGTCAATATATGTGATTTGTCAGTAGTTCCTATCCCTAGACTCATTCCAACATTCTTCTCTTCTTTACTCATGACCTTTTTTCAACAAGATCAGTTTTGTTCCCAACAAGAACAATAATGACATCACTGCCTCTCTCTGTTCGCACCTCTTCAATCCACTTAGCTGTATTTAGGAAACTCTGTCGGCCTGTGTAGCAAAAATATCAAATTTATTAGAAAATGTTCCAGACAAAGCTCTTGACAGAAATTTAAGTCAACCCCTTGTTCAAATCATGTAAAGAGATTTGGATGCCATGGTTTACTACACAAGGTTATGGAACTTGTGTATAATCACTATATCATTATGCTACTTTCGTAGTTCCTACAGAAAGGCATAGCATCCTGCTATCACTGCAGATGGTATTTAAAATAATGTGAAGCTCATAAGTTTACAATCAAAGTCAAAGTGCTTCAGTATGTTAACCATAAAAAACAACTTCAACGATACCAAATATTTTTAAGAGGTAAAAGCTGTGTAAGATGGAAAAATAGTGGCAAAAGTAAAAGATGAAAAGAAAGGAAATCCCAGATAACATACTTGCAACATCATATACAATGACAGCTACGGATGAGTCCCTAATGTAGCTTGGAATAAGACTTCTAAACCTTTCCTGGCCAGCTGTATCCCTGCCAGAACACGTGAAAAGATGAATATTTGGAATACAGCAAAAACAAATTCACATAAACTAAAACCAACCCCTGCACATCCAATACCATTACAAATATATTTTCAACCTAGAAAAAACTTGAATACTAAGGAAACACTAAAATAGTACAAATGCTAGAAGAATGAAGTATGTATAGAAATTTAAAGTTTAGAATAGAATTTGTCCAGCTAAAAAATTATTTATTTCTGTGAATATAAATATAGTAAAAGCTCAAAAACAACAATGGTTAATAACAAAAAAAGTGTAAAATGCAAAAAGGATATAAGATATGAATTTTAAAACTCAGCAAATGATGTGAATCATTGAAGTCAAAATATCAAGATTTTCACCTGTATAAATTCAGTAATCTAAAAAGGCAAGTAAACCCTGCAGTACCATGGTCATGTTAATCATTTACAAATTCCAGGGAAAGAAAAAACTGAGCGGTGACTACTTAATCTCTCCCTATATACCCAAAAAGTTGAAACAAAATCCTTTTTCTCCTATTTGGGATTGAACAAAATTAAACTTAGTTCACATCAGCAGAAACAAAATGCAAGCATTCAGTCCTACAGAAAAGTGAGCCTTCACATTCAGGCGAAATACAATTAAAATGTCATTATATACTTTCTCTCATCCTATCATCGCCTGTCTTCAGAATATAATGGAAGGAAACTATCCCACCCATGCTATCCTACCTCTTTCAATCCTTTCCTTTCCTAAACACCCTTTCATTTCTTGACCATTTTATATATGAGATGCTACTCCAAATCTTACCACAACTGCAATCGAATTGTTCGATCTTCAAGATACATAGTTTTTGATAGGAAATCAATACCAATTGTAGCCTGCACGAAGGAAAAAAGTCAAAATAAAATTCAACAAAAGTACGAAAGTATGATGAAGCTAAGAAATGAAAGTACACACAATGATTGAAGCAGCATGTCTATTATGCTTAGAAAAAAACTTAGGCCTGAAGTGAACGGAATATAACTTATAAGCAGTCAAGCATATAGTTGAAACACAACTATGCTTACACGGTATGAGATGGAAAATGTGATTCTCAAGCAAAAAAAAATAAAATTGGCACAACAAGTCCATAATATAGCCATAATTATAAAATGAAGCACTTAGCAGCCATAGTTAGTGAGTCAAGGCCTATTTGGATACAAGTTGGTAACGTTTTTAGTAGTTCCTCTATTGGAAAATATAAAGCCTTTTCCCATAGAAGAGATTTCAAAAGTTCTTCTAGATTTGTATTCAGAGATATTATTAGTGAATAGGCTGTTTGTTTATTCTCATTAGGTTTGAATAATTTATCGGCATGTTCAATATAGTATTTATCAAAAAAAGTAGTCTAAAATCTAAAAGGCAAAGGGGAACATTCGAAAAGTCAAAGTTCACAAGCTGAATCAATAGTAGGATTTATAATCAAATCTACATCATTTATTTGAATTCTTCCTTGTTCTTTTAAATAAAATAATAGTAATAAGATTATAATAATCGTTCAGCACAACAGTTCGCAGGATAAATTAAACTGAAAGGCAAATCAAATTCAAGAACAATGATAAATCTGAATCGAACCAAGTTGAGAGCCTAGGATTAGTTTTTTTACTAGTATACACAAAAAACAACAAATCAAATGAAACAGAAAATAGTGAGGGTTTAGAAGTGGTTTTAGCCTTGACGAACTAAGTAAGGAGTTTCTTATGCGGTTTTGGATTGGATCTGAGGGTTTAGACAAACCTGGTAGGTGTTATCGAATTTATCGTACATGAAGCGAGTGATGATGCTGGTTTTGCCCACCGATTGATCACCCAAGAACACCAACTTGTACTTAGCTAGAGCTGAAACTGGCGCCATTTCTAAATCGAAAATGAAAGCAAAAAGAGGAATCGGAAGAAGCAGAGAAAAACTTCAGTGGTTTGTCGGGGTTGATCTCGGACTCTGAAGAAAAGGAACAGACAATAAGACGCGGAGAGAGTTGGCTATGTGAAAATGTTATTTAATTGAATCGCATGAGATGAGGACGAAACCCCAAAAATTAAATAAAATAAATTTTAATCCCAGCTTGACCATTTTTAAAAAATAGAAGAAAAATGCATCTACTTATATGTATTTTTAGCCTTTTGGATTAAATATTATTAAAATAATGTATGTATTTTGTTTTGAAAAGTCAAATCGATAGAAAGAAAGGCAAGTGATCTTAAAAAAAATAACTATTTATATGACTATCAACCATAAATTTAACGATCGAATTTTTTTCACTTATTATTTTAGGTTGAGTTCTTCTAAATCTTCTAAATCGATTATTCTAGATTGAGATTTTTTGGACTCATCGCTCCACGTCAAGTTTCTTTGAATTGACCATTTAAGGTCAAGCTCTTTTGGACCAATCACTCCACGTTAAGTTCCTTTGGACCGACCATTCAAGATCGAGCTCTTCTGGATCAACCACTCCACAACGAGCTCTTTTGAGTTGAGTTCCTCTAAGCAGAGCTCCTCTTGGTTGAGCTTCGCTAGGTCGACCACTCTTGGGCGACTATTTAGAGTCAAGTTCCTTTAAGTCGACCACTTTTGGCCGACCACTCGTAGCCAACCTTTGGCACATCATTCTATGGCTAACCACTCCGATCGAACAACTTGACTGACTAGTTACAAAATGGTCAAATTAACAATGACAATGAAGAATCAACTTCCTAATGCCGATTAAGATATAATTATGTTGTAATTAGGATGGTGAAATGGTAAAAACCCATAACAACTACTATAAATAACGGTTTAAGGTATGACTTTCATATACATGCACATAACAAATAAATAAACTACAACCATGGAGACAACAAAGTTGAACTTGAACCGAAGAAGACGAGACTAAGCCTAAAAAAGTGCAAATAAGCACATTGTTTCAAAATTGTGAGCAGAGAAAAACTTCATCCATCAAAGTTGGAACCATTCAAACCATTCAAGAACATGTTTAAAGCATTAAAATAAGAATTTCAATCAAAGTCAAATTTATGATCAAAATTGACAAACTCTTAGCATGTGTATAACTCAATTCTCTCATGTGTTTATGGAAGATTTACACTCAGCACCTCATGCAAGCATGCAATGTCATATGCTTAAAAAACCTCTAATTTCTACCACTCAAATGCATGCAACTCAATATCAAAAAGACTTTTATGTGGCTTGTGATGTTGTCAAGGTTAAGGTAGGATAAAGAAAGGAATTCAAAGCCAGAAACCAAAGAGAAGTGAGGAAACAATGGAAATGTGGGAAGAATAAATGTAAATTATGTTTACACAAAAATTCATCAATTAAACTAGAAAACTCTATTTTCTTTCTCTTTTAATTTGTACTTCTCCTCCTTCTTTTTCCATTTTTCTCTTTTGTAGTTCAATGTAGACCATTTTTTCCATTTTTATTTTATTTTACCTTTTTTTCATATTTTTCAATTTTTCCCATTCATACACTTTTCCAAACTCTCACAATTCATCATAACATACATTGCACCTCTTCCCTTACTCCTAGGCTTCTCAATAGTCCTCAAAATAGTTCCAAGGTTCCTCACAACGCTAAGGTTGGGCTGATCGTAGTTTTAAGACCCAAGGCTTTTAAAAAGTTGAGAAATCACTAAGAAATAGGTCAATTAGGCTCAAAGAAGGGTTTAATATAAATAATGTAAGGCAAGGTTGTTTGGCTAAGTGGATGGTTTACAAAAATGGCCTTGATCCTCTCAAGAGTGCAATCAAACAAGTAGCAAAAAAAAGTTCAATCAAGTTCTGAATCACAACGCAAGCAATGTAAATCGCACAAGAAATAAATTAGGCTCAAAGCTCACTAAGGTTAGCATTCTTAAAATCTGAAACATTATCTAAATTCTCATGAGAATCCAATGAAACATAATGCATGAACATGTCAATCAGGCTTAAAATCTCTAACTAAGGATGGAGGATCAAAATGATTCATGTGTTGAAAAACCTATTTTATAATTAAGTGCAACAGTGCAAACTTAAACAAGCCTCAATCTCAATACTAACAACCATGACTAAGACAACAAAGATGAACATACTTAATCTTAAACAGCTCGAATGCTAAGCATGTTGGTAGCTCAGCTTCTAGTAGACCAGGTTGTAAATCCTAAACAAAAACTAACTATACTAGAGTAAATAAAAATGAAAAAAAAAAAAGAAAAATCTAACTCAACAACCTAAAGTACAAAAAATAACATCTAACTAACTCTAGCCATATATCAAAATTGTTATTTTTATTACATTTTAGTGTAGTACAACCTACTACCATGTTATTCAATATACTATATTCATTATTGTTGCCATAACAAAAGTGGTATTTGTTTTGTCTACAGATGTGGTAGTACACAACCCTAGTTTAGCTCGATTTGGGAACTTATAGTTAAAATCATTTTCTAGTCGAGCTTTTCCCTAGATGCCCAAGCTTCTCCTCTACAATTTGAGCTCAGACCATTCTACCCTCACTCGAATCAATGTGCCTCTTAAGGTTGAACTTCTTCAATAGCTTCAGGTCAAATTGGGAGACTGATAAAGTAACAGCCTAGTAACTCAACAACATAGAAGCACGACAACCCAATCTTTGCAGCTTAAAAGCACTACTGCTTAACAGATCAACAAAGTAGTAGCTCGACAACTTCACAAGTCAGAAAAGTATCATCTCGATAACTCTACAAGTTGGCAGAGTAGTAGCTTGGCAATTCAATAGGCCATATTCAGAAGCATGACAACAATCTGGTTATAAATCCCAAAAATTCCTAAGATTCACAAATTTAAACTAAAATTGAAAAATAAAGGAAACAAAGATGCTAAAGAAGTGTAATTATCTTCAATATGAGAGTATAGAAATTAAGTTATCTAGGTGGCAATGAGAAAAGTCCACGAAGATGAGAACGAGAAAATTTCATAGAGGTGGCAATGAGAAAAGAACACGGAGGTGGTAACCATAAAGACCATGAAGGTGACAATCATAAAGACCACGAAGGTGGGAACAAGAAAATACCATGAAGGTAGCAATGAGAAAAGATCACGAAGGTGACACCAAGTTACACAGATGACACCAAAAGGCCTCTAAGGGAAGGCAGCAAAAGTTCTTCAGGCAAGGCACCACAAGCCCTTTAGGCGAGACACCGAGCTACATCAACAAGTAAATCGAGCTACTTTAAGTAACTTTCATAAAATGTCCTCTAAGCGAAGCACCGTGTAACATCCCAATTTGGGATGCCACGATTACGAGTAAAAAATTAAAAAATTTAAAACATAAAATCATTGAGAAAATTCAAATTCAATAAATCTCTACAATTAGCCAAAAATAAATTGTAATTCCAATTAATTACAAAATAAAATTTCAAATAAAATCATTTATTCAAAGCAAAACCCTAAATTTTTATCAAACGATGAAACCTTCATCAGTACTTGGTATCTTTTCAAAAGTGTTTAAACGATTTAGCTGCATAGAAAAATTGACATAGTTATTTTGAAGACACAATGTAAAGCATTAGTTGCACAACGTTTGAAACAACATAAGTGATAAGAAAAAAGACATATCTGCTCACAAGCATTTCTATTATACTTTATACAGATGCCTATTACAGGTATGCACCTGCTCCATCATGAAAAATTCAGAAGTGGACGTTAGAAACAAAGAAGACATTCATAGAATGTTCTCTCCATCAAAAGTAGCGCTGAAAAGTTCATACAACCTACTTTGGTTAAAGTACTGCAAAAACATGTTTGCTTTGACACGTTGACTTCAACCTATGGCTACTACCTATGAAAAGACTACGAAGATTTGAAGATCGAAGACAAGCATTATCTAACAAAGCTTTTCCCATGAAGCCTATAAATAGAAGATCACTTGAAGAGAAGATCAAGAGAATTAAAACAGAAACAATGAAAAGCGATATTCATACTTGTGAAAGAACAAAAATTTCGAGAATACACTATCAAACTTCATAGAATCATAAGCTTACATTTATAAGAAGAGAGAAAATTCTACAAAGTCTTTTATATTGAGTTGTATTGTAAACACACCCTCTCAATGAGAGTTATCATCTAAGATTTGTAAACAATCTGATTGATTATACATTCTGAAGAGAATTCAAACACTTGGTGGTTAACTCAGTTGAGTTAAACCCTTATTAGGCAGCGTATCAGGAAGATATCAAGATTTTCTAATAGAAACTAGGAGTGGGTAAAACTTAACTAGTCAACACAACATGTGTTACCAGGATTGACTAAGAACGAGGAGTGATGTTAATACTTAACTAGTCAGCATAACAAGTATTACCAGGATTGACTAGGGAAACTAGGATTGATGTTATTATTCAGTTATAATCTTATTGAAAATCTAGTGGAACCCTCTAAGAAGTCTTAGAGGAGAATTGTATGTAGCTTAGGTGGGTGAACCAATATAAAATAATTGTGTGATGATAATTTCACCATTGCAAAACACCTTACTTGTAAACACTGCAGTTCCTTACGAAATTAATCTTTGATAAACTCTTTTGTTCTTTCTCAAGAGTTATCTTTCTCAAACGTTATAGTAGCTTTGCTAAATGCTCTAAAAATACTTTGCCTCTGAACGTTTTGTTTTCAAAAGAGTGTCTTATAAATAAACCATTTAACAATTTGTGTAGACCTTATAATCTTTAACAAAGTTGTTAAACATTCTTTTGTGAAAAGTTTTCCAAAAACACAATTCAACCCTCTCTTATATTGTTTTCTTGTAATTTCACGAGATGTTGATACTTAAACATAATTCGATGATTGTTTCTTGTGTTATTACTCTCAAAATAACTGAAATAAAATGAGCAGAGCTTTTTCTAATAAACTCTTGTGGTTTGAGCTTCATGTGGGGAAGCTTTGTTGATGAGCTTGCCGAGTTGTATGGCCGAGCTTAGTTTTCGAGCTTATCTATCGAGCTTTTGTCCTTATTTCCACTATGTAGGCACTATGCGCCACCATGCCATCGCAAGCTTCGTTGCGGCCACCGCAAGAGTTCATCCACCACCGTGAGCTTTAAGCCACCAAAAGCAGCGCCTCTACCAATTCGTAGAAATCCCTTCGTGGTGTTGGCAAACAACTTTCCCCTTTGCAATTCTAAAACCTTAATTTGGGTAGAAAGGGGCTGCCACATGTCAAACCCTAACCCCTTTTCTTTTAATCCTCTGTCAAAACATTGTCACCTCATCAATATTTTTTAAATTCTAAATTGACACGTTATTTTACCTCATAGTGCCACACAATAAGAAGAAGTGGAAACATCATCATGTTTTGGCCAAGGGGCAGCTACACCGTTAGATTTTTAACGCTGTAAGCAAAAATAACTTACTTGATCCATTTTTACACAAATTGGGACCTTTATAAACTTTTTTAAAATGTAGGAGAACTTTGAACAAACCTCTTCATTCGAGAGACTAAAATAAGTATTAAGCCTATAAAAAATAATACAAACTTTATTCTCAAATCCATTTACTTACCTTTTCTCAAATCAATATTCACAAGTGAACATATAGAAAAGATTAGTATGTAAAAAAATATCCAATAATTTTGTTATTAGTGAAATTTAACTTAAGAAAAACTATGATTTTAGCTAAAACTTTAAAAAAAAAAATTTGTAGTAGTTGATTGAGTAATTTAGTTGAAAGTTGGCTTGTTTACTTTGTAAAAAAAAAGATAGATACAAACTTCACTTTTTACATTTTTAGACATAAAAAGAGAAATAAAGAGAAAGTAAAGAAAAGGAAAAAAAACAAATAGTGTATAATATTACACTTGAAGAATGAAAATAAAGAGAACAAAAAGATGAAAAATTAGAGGGTAATAATACTTTAACAATATTTTAACATTTAACATGGTGTGATTATGTCTAAAATTACTTCAGAATTACACCTGAACTAATAAAAAATGACGTATGAATGATGTTAAAATGTTTAAAAAAAATATTTTCAATGTCGAAAATTAAAACGGAACAAAGGAAGTAGGTATAGGGAGAATCATGTTCTATATTAGCTATTGGGGTCAATCGCAATCCGTCAAAGGCACCAAACCATACTGAAACGAATCGAGTACAGGGAAAAAGCGTGGTTGGTGAAATTCCTGGGATCCCCACTGCAGGGACTATTATTTGTTGTTTTGATTTACCCACTTTTTCTTTCTTTCAGTTCAATCACTATCTTAATCCTCTCTTACACTCCACGCACAACTACAACTCTTCCATCATCATTCATTTCTAAATTCGGATTCGGACCCAAACCCCAACTCATGGTACGCTCTTTCTTCTTACAATCCTTCAATCGTCATATGATTCATACCGGTTGAATTCAGCATACCGTTTTTGCGTTTCAGGCGAGCACGTTGCGGCTATACTTGACCTGCATTCGGAACACGCTAGAGGCCGCAATGTGTCTCCAGGTACCTTCTCTTACTCTTCAATGCCACCCTCTCTCCCTCTGTATATATATATATATATATATCCATTTTCTTTTCAACGTTTTTTCTTCTCTTCTTCGCTACGCTTCTAGAACTTTCCCTGTCAAGAAGTCGAAAGGCATAACAAACCCGAGGTTGAGCTCAAGTACGCTCTCTCTCTTTCTCTCGATCTAATTGATAGTGTTAAGAGAAAAGGAACGAAACAAATAATTATGTAATTGAGATTGTAATTTTGTTCTCGAAATATAATACGACGATTGCATGATGTTATTATCAAAGAAAAAAAATCAAGGCGATTAGATTGAGAATTTTGTTGTTTTACTTGCAGGACCAGTCCCGAACTCCTCCTCAATCCCGTAATTTCCATCTCGTTTCGTATCATTATGCAGTAATTTCTGTTTTAAGTTTTGTTTCCACTGTAATTGGCGTGACTTGAGGTATGTAACTATGTATCAAAAGATATATGGCCTTTCTTTTTCTTTTCTTATGTAGTAGATAAGTTGATGAAAAGAGAAGTTAGGTTCATAGGAGTTTTGGTCTTAGGCTAGTGGCTACTTTTGCATGGTTGGGTCTTTTCGGTTTAGAGTGAGACCGGTATTCTATATGTTTCCTGAAATCTATTCCTTCTTCGAAGTTTAAATTGGACGGTATCTAGGATTGTCAGGTCTAGCTTTTTAGGAATTTCAAATACTTCATAAATAAACTTGTGTTTGATAACATTGCTGATCGCACTCGTGTTTTATTGAATTTGTTCATTCCTTACGATTTTTTCTTGCAATTATAAGGGCCTTGTGAGTGACACTTTCACAATCAGTTTGTTACTTGTTGCTAATAGACTTTTACAAGTTGGAAGGTCTTGTAAGTGCCTTTTCTTTATTTCTTATTCACATCGACCGATAGGTTGAAGAGGCTGAACCATCTGTTTCTTCAGAGGTAGTAAGTAGTTCGAGAAATTTGGTGCAGATAGCTCGGCTTAAGTTGGAGGGAGTGTGTTTGTGCTTCAACACATGAGTTCATGGTGTTGTGATGAACTGTTTTAAGATTCCTATTAGAAGGAATGCTAGAGTGTGTAGGCACCATGCTTTATATTCTCTGAACCCAAGTGTTTCTTGATTGAATGGAGTGCTCGACTTAAAGACATACCATACCCTATTCCAACATTTTCCTTGTGATGGAGGCTTCATGTAATTTATAATAGAATACGAAGATATTATGATTTGTATCTGAAGCACATTTAATCTAAAAGAGGAATAACATGAAACAAGACTTGTCTAAAATCAGGAAAAAGGAACCGCAACATAAATGAATACTTGCACTCAAAGGACAGAGAGAAATCAACATAGAGGTTGTTTGGTGGGGAGGATGTGGGATGAGAGAATTGCTTTTAGAAAGACAAGATTAAATCATACTAAGAAAAGGGTACTGTTTATTTAGACAATAACTTAAATAAGGGAAATACATGTGCAGTAAAGAAAATGAGAGTGCAGATGAGTAGTGGAAGCAATTTTCAGGAGGTTTCTATTAGTTAGGATGAGAGAATTTCGAAGGATTGCTTCTATAGTATTTCGCTACTTTTGGTTCATGATATATTTTTTCATTTAGACTCACGTCCCTTTGCTTGAAAGTCATACTTATCATTTTTCTGGCTCTGTTTTGGATTTCAAATATTTACTTGCTGGAAAGGATGGGCATGAAAACAAGTTTTCTTCTAGACTATATTAAGATTCTGTAATCTATAGTCTTCTGTTATTTGCTTTTGTTATTATGTTCATCAGCAACACAAATTGGAAGTGGCTTTAAGTTGTCTTTGTTAGAATTAACTGTACTCTTGTCATGATAATTGTGCCTCAATCCTAATGTCTTCTTTTACCATACCTTTCTAAGTTATTGTATACTTCATTTGGATGAAGCTGAATCTTGTAGGTGATAATTTTGGCTCACTGGTTTTTGTTTTACTATACGTTCCTAAATGATATATCACTCTTGCATCAATGCTTCATTGGGAAAATATGTGCATTTGTTGTAACAGGTTTTGATATGTCGAAATGAGGCTGAAAAGTGCTTAATAGAAACATCAATCAATTCATTGCGGATAAGTCTCAAGGTATATTTTTTCTTGATTGTGAGACTAATATTTTGTTAAAATGGTTTAAAATTAAATCTTTTCCCATGATTGTGAAGATTGATTCAGTAAAATCTGTGAAAGGTTTCCAGAGTGTCTAACAACGTCTAGTCTTAGTTTCACATCTGGTCTACTATAGTGTCTATGAGACTAGAGCTTCTTATGTGGGTGCTTATGACCAAATGTGTGTCATATGGTCCATGTGTCCTATTTGTTCAGTTATAGCACGTGTCCTATTTGTTCAGTTATAGCACGTGTACAATGTTAGTCTGGTTGGTATTGCTCATCATTAGGGACCTTATAATGCCACTTATGTAAGAGTTCATTTAGTTTGTTAAAGCTGTTACAATTGTTAACTAACTAAGAGCAAGAGTTCACTGAGAGAGAAACCAAGAATTGTAATTGATGTGTTTATAATGAATTATATCATGGATGAAAATTGAAGTTCATTAACACTTCAATTGCATTACGTGTACAATGTTATTGTGGTTGACTTTGCTTATAAATACAGAATTGATATTGTCACTTATGAAATGGTTCGTTTAGTTAGTTAAAGTTGTTACAACTATTAAGTAAAAGTGAGAGTTCACTGTGTGAGAAACCTAAAGTTGTAATCTATGTTCATAATGAATTCTGTTGTGGATGTAAACTAAAGTTCATGAACACTTAAATTGGATTACATTACTTTTGGTGTGTAATCTTTTGTCTCCTGTTAGGATATTTACCCTATTTATCATGATTATATTGTGTCAAGGGTTACCCTATTTATCATGATTATATTGTGTCTAGGATTAACCTATTTATCATGATTATATTGTGTCTAGGGTTACTCTATTTATCGTGTACTCTTGTATCAATTTATTCTTATAAATAGAAGATTATGAGAGGAATCAATCAAGCCTTCTAGAAATATATTTTCCGGTTTCTAATCTCAACATGGTATCAGAACAGGTTGTCTGAGTCTCTTCTTACTCCGTCTTTGTTTCCGCCAGTGGCTGGTGGCTGCTGCCACCGGTGGCCTTAAAAAAACAATTTGTCTTTTCTGCAATCAGCAACCCTGTTCTTTTAATCTCATTATTTGTAGTATTCTTCTTGTTGTTTTTTGCTGTTACCGCTGCCGACCGTCACCGACTGCTGCCGTTCACCGTCACAGTTTTGTCCGGCGACCAGTGGATCAGAATCGCCTCCTCGAGTGACGGCCAACCTCGCCGGTGTCGAGGGCTAGTTCTCATCTAGGTGCCGCCATGTGCACCACATCTATTCGACGTCCGCCACTACCGTCGCGTTTGCTCTGGCGAAGTTAGGGGTTTTGTGTGCCTCGAGGACTGTGACCCATCCCTAGTGGTCGCTGCCTCATTCTCCTCCACACGAGAAATCACAAACGGCTTCTCTCTGATCAGCTTCCAGCGAGTGTTTGTCACGTGCCACCTTTTCGGTGTCAAATTGATACCGCGCCATTGCCGGTCGTGTCGCCGAAGCCTCCTGAGTTTGTTTCTGTCTTTGTTTCTTTGGTTCGGTGGCTGTAACTCAGACCTAGGGTTTTCTCCTTTGATTAGTTTGGAACCCTAAGTCCTTCAGATCTCCTCTATTTCATCATTGTCTGACTCGCCGAATCATGTTGAGCCTATATTTACCTGTGGTTCCTAATTTTGAAGTCATGGTATTCTATGTTTTCTCTCTTAAAACCCTAAAATTGAAAATCCCCAATTTCTTGTTTTTGTTCTGGAATGGTGGAGGCACGACTACTTCTTCATCACCCTCTTTGCGTCACTTAAGTACCACCAACAGAAGTCATCCAAGTTCGTTCATTAACGCACCACATAATCCAACCATGGTTATCCTAGTGTCATTTTGGTTTCTTCTTCTCCTTGTACGCCACCACGGGTTTTCTTCTCCTTTGGTCACTCCAACCTGTCTTTGGCATTTCAAGGGTGATGGTGAGCCTTGCGCCTGGGCTTGGTGCCTGTGAAGGAAGCAACCCACTATGATAACAAATCTGTGTTTTTGGATTTTGGGTATTTTCCTGGTTGGTTGTTGTTTAAGAATGCAGGGTGATGAAGGAAATTGGTAGGTGAATGTGTCTCTGAGTGCTCCACCTGAGGCTTAAAGGTATGGGGATAATGGAATTGAAGACTCATGATCTCTTGGTGAATGAAAGTGAAGATGGGATAAGAGGGGAAGAAATAAAAAAAAAAAACTCTCTGATTCAGCATTGTACCTTTGTTTCAACATTGTTCCTTGGCCTCCTTTCATAATGTGTGTTTAGCTTTGCATATTGTATCTTTCCCTTGTGCCTTAGGTAACCCACTATGAAATCCATTGAGATATCTGACCAGACTTGAGTGGGAATTGGTAGTGGCTGAAGTAAAGCTGCTGGAGCCAAAGTTTCTGCCTTATTTCTTTGATAGACCTCACATTGCACGACAAAGTTTTTAATGTCAGCCACTTTAAAGTTCTGAAGTATCGTCTCTGGCCCCCAGTCGGAGATTCATGCAAATCCTTAATAATGATAGGAATGCGTGAATACAATTTTGGTAGTACCAATTTAGCATGACAAAACAATCTGCCCTTCTTCCATTCATACACAGGGTGAGCCTTAGAATCTACCATTAGATCCTGTATTAAAGATGTTAGCTTGGAATCCTGCTGAACTTCCTCTTTCCAAGCTTCCCACTCATCAGTTTGGAAACTGGATAAAGCCAGAAAATACTCTTTTCTGGACAATGTATCTGCCACTTTATTTTCCCTTCCTGATCTGTAGTGAATCTCAAAATCAAACCCAATTAATTTAGAGGCCAATTTAAATTGCTCCTCTGTTAATAATTTTTGGTCATTGAGAAACCACAGACTTTTCTGGTCTGTAACCACGATGAAATGACTCCCCATCAAATAATGCTTCCACTTATGTATTGGCTGAACCATGGCCATTAGCTCCTTTTCATAAACTGATTTATTTTGACCCGGATCTGACAGAGCTTGGCTCCAAAAGGCTAATGGTTTGTCCTCCTGTAACAACCGGCTCCCAAACCTTTGCTAGATGCATCTGTTTCAATGGTGGAAGGTTTGGAAAAATTTGTGACTGCTAAGATAGGATGTTGAGTCACAGCCCCTTTTAATTTCTCAAATGCTTGTTGAGCCTCTTCATTTCAATGAAACCCATTCTTAGTTAATGATTGGGTCAAAGGTTTAGCAATCCTCCCATATCCCTGCACAAACCTTCAATAATTGTGTGCGTGTGTGAATAATAGGAAATTTTAAAGGCTATTATTAAATTTTTGACACTCGTGAAATAAATTCACATAATGGGGTCAATTGTCCTCTAATAAGAGTTTTAAAGATGATTTTTTTAATATGTGAATAATATTAATTAATATTGAGATAGTGCAGTCTTCCTAGTTATCTGAACTTTCTTGGATACTCTTAAATAGAATTATGAAATCATCTTTAATATCTTAAAAGTATCACTAAATTGGTAACATCTTTCAATTTAAAACTTCAGTCAACTGAAAGTGGTAAATTGCTTTTATAATTTAATTTTATCAGCAGTTGGTCAAACTAATCTTTGAATGAGATTTTTCTTTCAATCATCAAATTTGCATGAGATATACCAATGTTCATTATCATTTGTCCCCAATTCCTTGTTCTAATTTATTCTTTCTCATTCTTTGCAGGTTAAGCAGGCAGATGAACTTGAAAACATACTGACCAAGAAATTTCTTAGATTTTTATCAATGAGAGCTGAAGCTTTCCAAGTACTCAGAAGAAAGCCTGTTCAGGTTTGTATCTACTAGCATTAAGATAGTTTTATTTTCCTTTTCATTTTCTTTTAAATTGAGAATGGTGTCTGGTGATAAATTTTCGTATTGAATAATGTAGTGTCTAGTTGCGTGCAGTTTCATTGATGTTTTAATTGAAGTATTTGTTGAGGTTGTTTCCTAGATAGTGTATTGCATGACTTTAATAAATGAGATGGAGCAGAGCAGTGTGTTCAACCTACAATGTTGTGCTTTTTTATTGATATGTATATATACACACATAGGAGTTACAAAATAAGGCAAGGCACATACGAAACAAATAATAATAATAATAATAATAATAATAATAATATAACATTACATTTTAACAGCATGATGCTAAGGTTGTGCTTTGATTGATGACTTGTCATTATTACTAAAGTTTGACAAAAGCAATAGGCATACCACATGCACGGAAATTCTGTTGTTATTTATTTCGAAGGTAGTGCTTGGTTTAAATCCTCTACAGACATAAAATGGGACATGCAAAACTATCCTTGCATTTAATTTTTCTTCTCTTATTTTGGCACTGATTTATGAATTGAAAAATACTGCATAGTGTCTATTTATTAGTGATTTTTAAATTGTATGGTGGTTTATTTACCCTCCAAAGGAATTTTAATCCTCGTGTGAATAATTATTACTGAGAATCACAGCATTGTTGGGGTAGTTTACTCTATTCATGCTGTTAATGATTCTAACCAAATATTTCTTTCCTTTCTCTAGGTAGAAGACAAAATTTCTTTTAACATACTTCCGTTTTTCTTGGTAACTTGATCATTGATGTCATCTTCTTGTTTCTCTTGGCAGGGATATGACATTAGCTTCCTTATAACAAATTACCACTGTGAGGATATGCAAAAGCACAAACTCATTGATTTTATAGTGCAATTTATGGAGGCAAGAATTTTGTTGACCCTATAATTTAGATTTGCCTTCTTTTACGTGACATGTAGTAATTGTCTAAATTAGGGATACCGTATGATCTATGAAAGCATTGCAAAGGTTCCGCGGAACATTATTCTCCTGGGTAATTGGTGCTAAGATCAGTATAACATGCAGAAATAAATTAAAATATAATAAATAGAATAACATTTTGATATTCTTTATTGGATGTTAGATACCTGACCTTATTAATCAACTTTCAAACGAGGTATAAATGATTTACTTACAGACTTTTCCTGCCAGATTGGTATTTGGTGTAGTGAACTTAAAAAGATTTACTGATAATTTGAAACATCAAGATGATGTTTTTGCTTGCTTTTTATTACCTTCCCGACATTTAAAATGGCTTCTTTCATCGATCTGTTGTGCTTTTTTATAGGATATTGCCAATATTAAATAAATGTGACTTCTACTTTAGTTTTGGTTAATTGTTTGAAATTTAGTATAATAATGGCCTTCAAATTACAGGACATCGATAAAGAGATAAGTGAGCTCAAAATGTCAGTGAACACACGGGGGAGGCTTGTTGCTACAGAATTTTTGAAGCAGTTTATCTGATGCTTTTAACTAGTTGGAACTGCCAAATCCGTGTAAATTGTACTCTGCAGGTCTAGTTTCACTTCACTTATCAAGTGCTTTGCCCCATGAGCCAATGGTCTGTGGCTTTATTATATTTAACAGAAGTGCAGAATAAATTTTGTAGAGCTTAGTACATTATATAAAGAAAATTATGACAAACCTCCATGCCATTCCGAGTAATTGAAGCTACTAAAAGTTAGCACATTTATCACTTAAGTTTTTTTCAATTTTCAACTTTTGCATGTTTTATTGTAACATCCCAAAAATATAGCATGAACTATATGAGAGTCATTACTTTAATAATAAGATAGAACAATTTTCCGAAAATTAGAGTTAAGTTACAGTTATCCTAAAATATTAAAAGTTCACTAAATCTATTCCTATTACAAAACTATTCACAAGATCGAGCGATCTTTTACTAAGCTGAGGGGTCCTTTCCTTCCAAGGACCGCTCTACTGAGAACTTCTCTCCAACGGCTCACACTCACAGGATGATCATTGCAAAAGAAGAACCAAACAGAAAACATGGACAAAAACAGGAAATAAGGGTAAACTAATGTAATTTAATTGTATACATACATTTCGCACAAGTCCAAACAATGCAAGATCGAACACTACAACATACCAAAACCAAATACAAGCAAGCATGTACAAACCAAACACTCAAGTAGTTAGGACCGAACACTATACTCATGCATAGACCGAACACCATAATTCATGCATAGACCGAACATCATAATTCATGCATAGACCGAACACTTGACCATCCGAATGTATGAATGTGTAGCTATAGGCGTTTCTGCAGTTGTGGTGGTGAAACAACAAGACCCCATCAAGCTACTCCACAAGGTTAGTCCAGTGAAGATTACCTCGATACCCTGAGGTTAAAGGACCTCTTGCCATTCTCACACATGAATTACTCCTCTCTACTTGAGAATGAGTAATCAAAGAATATCAGGATAAATGCTAGCTTAACACGATACCCACATTCATACTTTACAATTCAATTACCATCCACGAGACATTCGCCTTGAAATTCTCTTTCACATTACTTGAAAACATAATTCTCATCACTTAACATAAAAAGTCATTCACCAATTATATCCTCACTCATAAGACCGAAAACCCTGTGAACGTTGGAGACTGAACAAATTCTCACCACCCTAGGACAGGACCGAACAGTCTATAACAAACAAGACATGACAATTGACCGAACACTAGCGAAGGCCGACTACTAGGGAAAGTCTAACACTATATTAAAGTTGAGTACTAAAACTAGGTTAAATACCGAGACTAAATCGAATGCTAGTATAAGACCGAGAATTAACACTAACATAACTGCTAGTATAAGACCGAGCGCTAACACTAGCATAATTGCTAGTATAAGACCGAGCGTTGACACTAACATAAATGCTAGTATAAGACCGAACACTAACTCTAGCATAAATACTAGTATAAGACCGAATGCTAACTCTAGCATAAATACTAGTATAAGACCAAGCGCTTGACCAAGACCGAACGACCAACTGTGCACACTCCGCGTTCTGCATAATTCTGCAAAAGTTATGTAGAATTACGAAGAACACCAAAATTTACCCAAAACCAAATATTTTTTCTAACTTCTAATCCTCCAAACATGATTCCTACACCAATTCAAACCTATCTAAGAGTGCCTAAACATCTCTAACCTTCATTCACAAAATTTCACACCAAAACCCACCTAAAAATCTGCATAAAACTTAACTCAAAAATCCAAAATCAGATTTACCACTTTTATACATTTTTGGCCAACTTAGGGGTTCTAACAGGTCACATAACACTTGCTCAAACTCACCTCACTGCCAGAAATCCCAACCTCAAACTCTCATTTCCACCCTCTCACTTCCTCAAATTGACACTGGTCGATCACTTTTTCTGCATAATACTCCCCAAATCTAGTTCACAGAGTTCAGTCCTCACATTCAATCAAAAATAGAAATTCAACATGCATTTCAATCAATCATACAATTCATTTCAAACATATAAAAATACAAGTTAAATTATTTAGCTTTTGCTTACCTTAAAATAGTTGGACCAAAGGAAAACCTTCACTGAATTTGCTATCCCACAACCACAAACACAACCAACAAATCTTTGGATTGGTGAGAAAACACCATCCACCGAACCAGAACTAAGAATTAGACTCAGAGGAGGTGAAGAAGGACACATGCAAGCAGAACATAGCTTGCATGCAACTGAAACGTGCAAAAAACACCAAGGACAAGAGAAACCACTTACCAATGATTAAACCAGTAACTGAGAGAAGATTGAACAGCTCCAAACTGCAGAGATACTCAGATTTGAGCTGTTGGAAGAACAAAACGACTTGAATCACTGGAAATCTAGAGAGAATTTGTAGAGGAGGAGAAAATAAAACTTAGAAGTTTGGAGAGAAGAGTTGCATGCAGAGAGTGACACTAAATTTTAAAACTTTTGTTTATATACTACCATCAAAACCGATCGGTCCTCTCAGCTGCACACACCTGTCTTCCTCCACTTTCTCTGAATTTCACAGTCTTTACATTTATCATCCATGTTTTTTTCGTACATTTTATAATCTTTTCAAGCTCTTCACATTTTACCCATTTTAAAAATCAATAGTAAAACAATTAATTTTTAGAGGCTTGTCATCATTTTCATACATATTTAACAAATTTATTAGCAATAATTAAAGAAAATGAAAATTTTTGTGCGAGAAATGTGAGATGAAAAGGAAATTAAATGGTAAAATTCTAGAAATAATAATAGTTGGATGACAAAAGATGCAATCAAGCCCAATTAAAGGTAGTAACTAATTTTTTTCAAGGGGAAATATATAATATTAAATTAATAACTTTTAATCTATTCCTAATAACTTTCGCTTTCAAAATATATATTTGCTTCTTATATTCTAAATAAAATCATGTTCATATCTCTTTTAATTTTGAAATATATGATTCACCTAATTGATTTATATAACTTTGTATTCAATGTAGCGTTAAATAATAATTCTATATAAGCATGTTTTACATATTATGTAATTCATGTTTTATCCAAGAACCGATCCTTTTACAATCAAACAGTTGAGTTAACCGATTAAAACACTATTTGAAGGTTTAATTATTTAATTTGATTCAAACGGTATGACTAGAATTATTATTATAATTAAATAATATTAACAATTTTGGAAGATCATAATTTTACTTTGTTAAAAACTAAATAAAATGTAATGTTATAAGATATTAGTATTTACAATGTATATGCAATTAAAATAAAATATATTATCATATTTAAACAAACTTTTGATAATTTTCTTCAATATTTATTAATTTGAAATCTATAATCTATAATAATATATACAATTGAAAGGAGCTGGTAACTTTTGTATTCATATACACACACAAATATATATATATATATATATATATATATATATATATATATATATATATATATATATATAATGGTAATTTATTTTAATATTTTAGTATATATTGTTTTTTAGTATTATTATTACTTCAATTAATATTAATAGTACTGTTATTTTAATTTAAATAAAACAATATAATATTGACGTACACTATAACAAAAACCCGCGCATCACAGATCTACAAATATGTAGTAGAAAAAGGTTTCAGACTAGGAGATCTGTTTCACCTTTTCTATTTCTAATTGTAACTGAACGGTTAACAGGGATAGTAAAACAAGCTTGTGCAAAACAATTGAAAGTTTAATTACCTTTTGAAGTATATGAAAAATATTGAATAGTTTTGATAGAAATTTTTTTTGATATAATATGTTATCGAGTTTTTGAAAATTTTCTTTAAATGATTGGAAGCTCAACGTAATAAATTTGTATAATAATAGATTTTATTGTGCTACTCAGAATATATATAACAACATTTTGTTAAGAACTTCCTTTATAAATAAGATTGTTTAGTCTGGAAGATTCTTATGTTTATATCGTTTGGTCTGAAAGATTTTTATGTTTCATAATAAAGCGCGACTGCAGGTTTTCACGAGAGGATCGTTTAGGTAAGAGAAGAGATAATTGCACAAGAGACTTTATACTGGTTCACTCCAACTAAGTTACGTCCAGTCTCCTTTGTAGACAGTTCCACTATAATCTTCACACGATTAAAATGAGTATTAGCAACACTCTTGGTACTTAGTAATAATGGTTGATTTTACGTTATCTATGATGTAATTTTGATACCAAATCAACTCTCTTTGACTGTGAAGCTTGCTTAAACTCTTGTTTTTAGTTGAATTTTGTGAATAAGTTCGTAGAGGTTATACTTAATGATTTTTATCACTAATTCCCTCAATTTTGTAGGTTATTAGTATGTTTTGGAAGAGGAACAAAGTATCAAGGAGTTGGAACCCAGGAAGGACAACAAAAGAACTAGAATAGAAGGTTGCAGAAGGCTCAAGGATGCTTGGTTGCCCTTTTCTAGGGCCCTGGGTGCTGGTTGTCACGCAAAGACGCCTGGTTGCCCTCTTCAGGGGCCCTCAACGCTAGTGGTCACGCAAGGACGCCTTCTTGCCCTCTTCTGGGGCGCTCAGCGGAGAAGGCCACACAACCATGCCTGGTTGCCCTTCTCTAGGGCGCTGAGCGCCAGTTACACCCACTATAGGACGCTTGGTTGCCCTCATCCAGGGCATTGAGCGCCACTCTTCGCGCAGGCTCGCCTGGTTGCCCCCAGCTTGGGGCGCTGAGTGCTGACAACCTGGGCCTATGTGATACTTTGGATCTATTTAAAGGTTTTTGCACATTAGGGTTCACATCTTTGGATGACTGAAGCACAAAACCACTATTTTTGACCCTTTGGAGGAAGAGCGGGCATGCAAGAGCTTTCCTTTTCTTTTTCTAGGGTTTACATCTCATTTACATTCTTCCATTGTAAGCCAAGGTTCTCCATGACAATGGAGAGCTAAAATCATTTGTTGTTGGGGAAAGATGTAACCTCTGAACTTCATGTATTTGAACATGTTTTAAATATTTTATGCTTCTTTTCATTGAATGTTAGTGATTTTCTCCTATTCTTAATGCTTGTTATGTTTTGGTCATTCATAGCTTGATGATTGAATTTCTTTGTTATTGGGAAATACTTAGAAACCATGATCTGGAGGATTTCACAAAAGGAAATATTATCTAGGGATAAAAATAGGACGTTTAGTTGTCTTAAGCTTCTTTTCTTAAAGCGTGTCTTAAG